GCTGCCGGCACATGGAGGCGGGTGAGTGCGCCCGGGCGGCCCCGCGGGCTCAGGGAGAGGCTCAGGTCCTGGCTCTGCAGCCACCGGGAGGGCCACCAGGGCACGGGCAGCTGTGCCCTGGTGCTGGCTGGCAGCCCGGCCGGTGAATGGTGCCACCTCCCCAGAGCTGAAGGACTTGAACAGCTCCATGACAACCTCCGAGATGGCCAAGGAGATCGAGGTGCTGAGGAAGGACTGTGCCAGTTACACGGAGAAACTGGAGAGGATTAAATCTGCCACCAACCACGTGACTCCGGAGGAAAAGGAGAAGGTAAAGAGCTGCCAGGGCTGAGCCTGGCGCTGGGCCGGGCCTCCACCGGGATCCAGCACATCCCTGACGGGCATTCCCAACGTGGTGCTGTTGGCAGGTGTGCCGGGAGCAGCAGCTGTACCGCCGGGAGTGGCGCCGGAGGAAGCGGATGGTACTCACTGGGGGCCGGGGGTCAGTGCTGGCCCTGCTGGGACGGGCCCACCACAGCCCCTCACATGCCCTGTCCCGTCAGGCCACTGAGCTGCTGGACGCCATCCTGGAGGGTTACCCCAAGAGCAAGAAGCAATTCTTCGTAAGTACCGAGGCTGGAACCTGCCCGGGGCTGCTGAGCCAGGCCCTGACCTGCCCTGACCCACTGGTGCTGTACAGGAGGAGGTCGGGATAGAGACGGATGAGGAGCATGGCGTGGTGCTGCCAGCGGCCCTGTGAGGGGCTGGGGGACCCTTTGCCCCGGGGAGAAGCTGCTGCTGTGGAGCTGCTGCTGAAACTTGGCTGTTGGGTTGTTCTGTTTCTCTTTTTGCAGGACCTAGGCTCATCCCGTGTATTTATGTGTTTAAAATTCTTTTGCAGTTGGAAGGGTGGTGGGTGGGAGAGACTTGGCACTGGCCCTCTCCTTGCAGAGGGATGTTGTTTCTTCCTGCCCCTCAGCACAGGGAGCTGCCAAACTGGGGTCCAGTGGGGCTGAGGAGAGGTGTGGGGGCACTGGTGCTGTGTCCCTGCTGTTCTGGTGAGAAAAGAGATGTGGGGGAGGTGGGGGGCACTGGTGCTCCAGTACGGAAAGAGTGAGGGACTGTCAGGGCTGCAGAGCTCTGTGTGTGATCCAGCCCCTTCTTGCTGTGTGCCTGAGTGGTCACACAAAAATATGATCCATTAAACACCAGAATTTTGGTTCAGCTGGGCTTCCCTGTGGTGTTTGTCTGTTCAGGGGGTGTTGGGGCGGGGTTTGGGTCCTGAGGGGGGGGAAGGGTGGGAGCCAGGAGGGGGTAACATGAACCACAGAGGCTGGAATGGGCTTCTGGAAACTACTGGCTCTAGGGCCCAGATCTAGGAACACAGCAGCAGAAAAATCACTAAAACATTCAGCAATATTTAATTACTTTTCTCAATAGAAAAATACATCACTTTCATGTGTGAGGTCTGTAAAACTTCTCATCCTCCTCCCAAGGCAGGAAGCAACACTCCCTCCTCAGCTCTGGGAACAAAACAGCCTGAAATAAACACTCCCTGGCTGTGCCCCTGGAGCAGGAGCACAAACATGGTTATGGAGAACAAATCCCACTATCCCATTACTCTGGGCAATGACCAACCATCAGCTGGGCAGAGCTGTGACCCAAACTGGGTGTGAGACAGGGGCAAAGGTGTCCCTGAGAGCAGCTGCCTGCACAGCTGGCACTGGCAGCACTCCAGGACCATTTCAGTGATTTACAAAAATAAAAATCAAATCAAGGCTGGTCATGGATGTGTGTGTATAAAAATTCTAAGGAGGGGCAGCGAGTGCATGTGGCCACATTGTGCTGCAGCTGCAGAATATTCTGTGCAGCACAGCCACAGCCAACCCGAGAAGGAGCTGGATACAATCCAGCGCTTGCAGGAACTTCCTGTGTCCCTACCAGGGAACCCACAGCTGCAGGAGCACCCTGGCACTGAGGGGCTCATCCTGCTGCCAGCACTGACAGGCTCTCCCAGAACACATCTGCCTCAAAACAGCTGCTTCAGAGGGAGGGGGGAGACAGCCCAGAAGTTGGGGAGAATCTATTCCTACTGTTTCACCAGAAACCCACCATTTTTAGCACACATTCATCACATTTCCCCAGCCGGGGTCAGCGGGGCTATTCGCTGAGGCCTGAGGGCACAGAGCGGAGCTGCTCCGGGGTCAGCTCTGCAGGGAGAGTCGGTGGCACAGGCAACCCCACAGCACTGCCTGAGCCACAGACTCTGCCCCCACTCCTCTGCTCCACATCCCCTTCGCCTCCCCTCTTGCCCAGTCCCTACCAAGACTCGGTAACACCGAGCGGAGCAGCCGTGTCTGCACGGCCGCTGTTGGGCTTCGGAGGGAACACAATAAATAATTCAGAAAAGCTCAAAAACAGCCACGAGGGAGAGGGCCCAGGAGGGTGCCTGTCCCCCAGGCCCCTGGGCAGGAGGTGCCCTGTCCCCACAGGCACAGAGGCGGCGGAGGAGGCTCAGTAGAGCTGACTCTTCACCTGGTGCAGAACCCCGATGACAACGTCCCGCAGCGTCTGCAGCAGAGAGGGGACATGGTCAGTCAGTCCATAGGGTAACAGCTGCCCCCATGCCACTGTCTCTCCCCCTGGGCCACGGCACCAGTGCTCACCTGGGGCTTGCAGTGCTCCTCGATCCAGCTGAACACACATGCTGAGAGCTCCTGGAAACTTGTTACAGAGATGGAGGCATTGAAGGACTGGAACAGGGAATCCATGATGCCTTGGAAAACATTGAATTTCACTTCGTCAGAGACCTGGTCCTTCCCCTCGTTTGGGTTGTCTTGATGAGCTTTTACAATCTGCTCATAGTTCCTGAAACAAGTATAGGGCCTCGAGGTCAGCGGTGAGGCGTCTGCACCCAGCTCCTGCTCCTGGTTCTGAGCTCCTGCTCCCAGCTCCCACACCCAGCTCCTGTGCCCAGCTCCAAGCTCCAGGCCTGTCCCCAGCCAGAGAACCTCTGGATGACCCCTGGCAGCTCTTCCCTGCAAGGACATGGGGGAACAGCAGGAGGAGGGCATGACCCTGACAGCTCTTCCCTTACACTTTCATGATCTTCAAGGCCATCACATCTTTCCTGAGGGTAGAAACTTCCTCCTCCTGCTTCTTCTTTTCCTTGTGCAGGAACTGGATGTAGTCAATGGCTGAGCATGAAAACACAGAGTGAGGATTTGGGAGCAGCACACACAGGCCACTGAGACCACCACGGGAGGTGCCCAAGCAAGGGCAGCATCAGCTTCCGCTGCCCCAGTTCCCCTGGGGCAGACAGGCAGGTGCAGGTGAGCAGCACCTGAGCTCCCCAGAGCCTCATCGCACCACAAGGTCCCAAGGTGCTGAACTCTGCCCTGCACAGCTCTAGGGAGGCTTTCTGGGGGACTGACAGCAGCCCCTTCCATCTCCCCACCCCTTGGGACTCACTTTTCTGGAGGACAATGGCCTTGCTCAGCTTCTGGGAGCCGATGGAGAAATCCTGCTGCTCGCAGGTGGGGACGATGGCCTGCAGGTCATCGTAGCCTTTCTGGGGGGAAGCAGAGCCACAGCACGTGGAGTTCACCCTGTGGGGCTGGGCCCACACCCAGCTCCCACCACACAGCCCATCAGGGCCAGGGCAGCTCCCAGCACACGAGGAGCCTCCTAGAGAGGGCAGATCCAGCAGCTCAACAGGGGCAGCGCTGGGTGGGATATGGCTCTCCCCTCACCTTGATGGCATCACGGCGCTTCTGCTCAGCCTGGGTGTGTGCGCGGCGGCGCCGGTCCTTGTACGACTCCTTGTAGGGCTCCTGGTGGTAGTCGCTGTCCTCGTCGTCTGTGGGGACAGGGCACGGCCCGGGGTTGAGGAAGCAGAGGCACGAGGGGGCTGTGGCAGCTCCAGGCCCAGCACAGCCCCTGCCCACTCAGCTCCTGCAGGCTGGGTCAGGGACAGTGCCCCGAGAGGCCTCCCCCGACCTCTACCCTCTCCCTGTGGAGCTGCACAGGAGGCACCTGCTGTTCCCACCACCTCCCTCCTCCTCCTCAGGGTGGGAACCCTGCCCAGCCCCCTTAGCGCAGGGCAGAGCTGGAGCCCGGCAGGTGCTGGGCTCCCCCGAAAGCAGAGACACCGCGGCCCCGAGGGTCAAACCCCACCTGTGTTGGGGACAGAGGAGGCGCTGGTAGAGCCGATGCTGTTGGCCCGGGACACTATGCTGCTTTTCCGGGCGTTCTCCATGAAGAGCGCTGAAACAAGAGTGTCCTGGGGTCAGCGCCCAGCGCGGGGTGTCACCGGGCGCAGGAACAGGGGGCGTCCCTGGGTGGCCGCTGCCACCCTGGCGCGGGGGTGGCACCTACCGGAGTCCAGGCCATTGTCGCCGTAGGCCGCGTCCACCTGCGCGGGGCCGGTGGAGACACGTCAGCGGGGCCGGGCTGCGACCGCGGCCCGGCCCCCGAAGCCCCCCCAGACCCGCTCGAGCAGCGCCCGCCACCCCTGGGCTGCGTCCCCGCCGGGACCTCCGGCCACCGCCCCCCACACAGGCATCGACCCCCCGCGCGCTCCTCGCCCCGGCGCTCACCCCGCCCGCCTGCCCGCCCTCCATGGCGCCCGCCCGCCGCCCCGTGGCCCCGGCGGCGCTCCCGGCCCGGCCCCACCTTCCCCCACGGGTCCTCGCCCCCGCCCGGCGGCTCCGCCATCTTCCGCCCGCCCGGTCATGTGACCGCCGCGGGGGCCGACGGGAACCGCGCCCCGCCGCGCGCCACCAGGGGGCGCCCGCGCCTCTGTGTGGGTGTGACGTCATGGCCAGGACACCGTCGCGGTGACGTAATCTTCAGTGACGTAATCGCTGCCGTGCGTCCCCAGTGCGGCACCTCCGTGCCCCGCAGCGCCGGGGGCCACGCCCATAATGGGAGCTGGGAGGGGCCGGGGGCAGCGGAGCCCCTGTGGAGGTGGGTGGGGGGACAGAACTGGCACAGGGACACGGGACCGGCACACGGACATGCACAGTGGGAGCAGCCTCTTTACTGGCACCCAGCGGGGCTCAGCCCTGCAGGGTCCCCCGCACTGGGGGAAGTCAGGATGCCCCGGCCCCTCTGTGGAGCCAGACGGGCTCGGTGGGCTCGGTCCCGCGCTGCTCCGTCCGCCGGCTCTCGCAGGGCAGTGGTGGACACGGATCCTCCCAGGGCCGTGCAGGACTGCCCCTCACAGGTGGGGGTCGTGGCCGGGCTCTGGGTGCAAACGCTGCTGCAGCAGGTCCCAGGCCTTCTGCACCTGTCAGAGAACCACCCGGGGCAGCACCTCAGAGCCCATGGACCCCGAGAGCGGCACCTTGGCACAGGGTCACACAAGGGTCCCATGCCTCCTCTCCCTTCCCAGCTGCATCTACCTCCCCAAATCCCTCCCTCGTGGCCATGTCCCGAGGCAGCCTCGATGGTGAGAGCACACCCAGGCACACAGTGCCCAGCCTGGGCACAGCACTGAGCCCTCTGGTCCCCCAGGACACCCCCAGTGCTGCAGCAGCCCCAGGCTCACCTGCTGCCGGGTGACATCTGGCTCCCAGAGGGTGCAGAGCACCACCTGCGCCCACTCCACCCGCTGCCTGTTGGTCATCTGGCTCTGCAGCCGGCAGCGAGCGGCCTCCTCGCTCAGCCCATCCCTGGCCACAATGCGCCTCACGGCCTGGCAAGGACAGAGGGGACACTCAGGGGAGGCTGAGGACCAGCTCTGGCAGCCAGCAAGGGGCCCAGGGCATGGCTCACCTCCTCCTCTGGGATGATGGCTGTCCACACCTCGTGGACCATGTCCTGCCACCCGGCCTCCAGCAGCACAGCAGCATCCAGCACACACACGGCCTTCCCTGCAGAACAAGGGCATTCCTCAGTGCCTGGCCATGGATGGAGCGATGGCTCCTCGGCTCTGGCCCAGCCTGGGCTCAGTTTCCCACTTCCAGCAGCACAGACAGTTCACTGCTGAGCTGAGGCTGCGATGGAGCTGCCCCCAGTACCTTGAGAGTCGGCCTCCCGGATCTGCTCCCTCGCCATCCGGGCTATCTCAGGCCACACAATGTCTGTCAGGCTCTTCAGCCGCTCCTACAAAGGACCAGGGCAGGATTCAGGATTTGGTCCCTTACCCTCAGAACTCCTGGGCAGACAACAAGGGGATGGTGGCTGTCAGCAGTCAGGGGGCACCCAGGAAAGTGGGGGGGTATTATTTTTCTTGCCCTGCCAGGCATAGCAGACCCTCAGTCTATGCTGCCCCTCAGCACAGTGAGGTCCCGGTGCAGCAGCACCCACATGAGACCCATCCACCCAGGGGACCCCTCAAGCTGCCTCCACCTGGGGCTGGGGTAGCACCGGAGCCACTGGCCCCACCAGCAAGGTCAGGTGTCACTGAGCTCCCTCGGGTACAAGGGGCAGAGAGCACCAGCTCCACATATGTCAGGGCTGTTGCTCCACACTGGGTGAAGGAAAAGCATGGGATAGAGGGGACAGGGATGGGGAGACAGCAGCAGCTGCAGGGCAAGAGGACTATGTCCAGCACAGCTGCTGACTCAGCTACAGAGATGAGATCTGTCCTGCCCTGTCACTGCCCTGTCACCCTGCCAAGAAGGTGTCATCAGTTCAAAGGACTGAAAACTAAAAAGCCTCAACAGAAGGGGAGAGCTCCCCTGGTTCATGGGATTAAACACTGAGTCTCCGTGCTGCTTCTACCTGGTTTCCAAACACTTTGGCCCCAAGGACTTTCCTGTTAATCGTCCCATCTTCATTCAAGATCTCTGCAAGACAGAAGCACAACAGGTTTGGCAGGAACAAACCCAGCTCCCATCCCTAGGGCAAGCCTGGGTCAGGGAAACAGCTTTGGCACAGGGCTCTCAGCAGGACACAGGAAGGGCCTGTAAGACCCAAACTGGCAGCTCTTCACCTGACTCATGAAAAGGACAGGAGAGAGCTCATCCCAGGCAAACAGCAGCCCAGTTCAGCCTTCCCCACCAGCAGTTCTGACATGGGACACACGACATTTGGGGAGCCCAAAACCCATGGGACAGGAGGGGGACACAGGCCAGGGCTCCTTGGGATGTTGGGACACCTCTCCCTCCTCCTCCTCCTCCCAGTCCTTCCCACAACCTCTAGTGGCTCTACCTGCCCCAAAGACTGCCACCACCTGCTCGTAGGCCGGGCCACCAGGGACATAGACGGCGTGGCCCAGCTTGTCGGCATCGATGACAAAGGCGCCCAGGTGCCCCAGGAGTTTGGCGATGGAGGTTTTCCCACTCCCAGTGCCCCCAGTGAGCCCAATCACATACGGGCGTGATGGCAAGGCCGGGTCTCGCTAAGGGAAGAAGGAAAGCCATGGCAGCAAACGGAGGACTGGGCTTTGCTGGAGAAGCATCCCAATGCCCCAGCCTGGAGATGGGCATGAAAGGATCTGGCCTGCAGAGCAGCAGGAGCACTGCCAAACTCTGTGGATCCCGAGATTCCCACCCCTCCTCCTGGGCACACCGCTCCCATCACAGCTGTGGTTCTCCCTCACCCGTGGGGGCTGCAGCAGCGTCCCCAGCAGCCTCTGCCGGAGGCTGGAGGAGCTGATCTTCTCCTCCTCGTTCTGTCGGTGGTCAGGGTCCTTCATCAACTGGATCTCATGGAGAGCCAGCTCAGGGAGCCCCTGAGGAGAGAAGGAAGCCCCAAGGACCATCAGCCGAGGGAGTGTTGCGGGTGAAAGGGAGAACTGAGACGCGATTTGCCCCCAGGCAGTGGTGGGCAGGGGCGAGAGGGGGGCAGGGGCAGCCCTGGGTTCCGGTGCGGGAATTACGTTTTCAAGCCTCTTCCTATTCACAGCCTCCCCTCCCCGGCGGGTCTCCTCGCTGACCACCAGGCACTGCAGGTCGGGGTCTGTGACTGAGGGGCCGAAGGGGTCGGCCAGAGGCACGATGTCGTAGCTCAGCGAGGGCTTCACGTCCTCCAGGAACTCGCGGAGCTTTGCTGCCCGCAGCTCGTAGGGCTCGATCAGCTCCGGCAGAACCTTGTCTACCAGGTGCCGGGAGGGTGGGGGAAGCACAAGAGTCACAGAAAAACAAGACCAGGAGAAGGGAGACAAAACTCGTCCATGACTTTGAGTGGCTGCTCCCTCCTGCCCTTGCTCCCACTGCACCCACACACCTTGCTAGCTCTGGACAGGATACCAGGTCCCCACCGGGTACCCAGTGTCACCTTGCCTGGGTGGCACCGCTTTGGGTGGGTGGCTGCCAGGACCCCCCGTGTCAGCGGTCCCCCAGACCACCGCCCTGCCCCGGCCAGCACCGGGCTGACCCCTCGGCCACCCCGGACTCACGGCGGAGCAGGTCTCCGTCGGCCACCCCAGCCAGGAGCCGCCGCCGTGCCAGGAGGCAGCAGGCGCTGAGCAGGAGCCGGTGGGCGCCGTGGAGCCGGTCGAAGGTGCCGCCGACCGCCACGTCCAAGAATTCGGGGAGCGTCGCGTCGGGATCCTGCTCGGGGTCCCCCTCGCGGTCCCCGCCGCCGGTGTCCTCGCCCAGCAGCA